TGGAAATCAATTAAGATCAGACAATTCTTAAGTGATGGGCTTAAGTTGGAAAAATGATAATTTACTTTTCTTAGGCCCAAAGGTGAGGATGATTTGGCTATTTGATAAGAATACATATCACTTGAATCAAAAATCTTGATAATCACTATTTCACCTATCATGATTGTTAAAGGCTTAATAGTGACCTAGGCTCGACGTATAAACTCAATTAATTGGATTTAGAAGATAACATGATTGATGATTAACATATTTAAACACTATAAGCCTGACCTTAATTGTGGGCACCACAACCTTTAAATGATCTAAACTTGCCTTAGGGGCACCCTCTCACATAACTTTTAAATGAAATATCAATTGATTAACTGTGCATCCTATTCTCGAGATAATTAAATTATTAGGTTTCGCTGAGCAACAGGGTAGTCACATTTTAACCTCGGATGATTAATGGAACAATATGATAAATTTAGAATGAACTCAAAATATTTTAAGAGAGCTTCAAAGTGATCTAAGGTCATGCCTCGAGCACTTTGAAATATATTGGACATTTTGAAAGGCAAATTGGACTTGTCATATTTTTGTTCTAAGATCATCCACTAGAATCTTTTGAGATTCAATAAAATCATAACTTGGGGTTTGATAACTAAACCTTCATCTACTCCTGCAATTTAAATTGCATTTTGAGTTTCAGGTGGTGGAACGAGAAGACTCGTCAGGTACGCTTTTTATAATTTATAATGTCGTCTTTCTTGTAGTTTCATACTGTATGTTTTTTTTTTGTTTATGCTTACAAACTAAACAATAATGCCACTCTCCAAAAAAATCAAAACTGTTAGGATAGCCGCAAAACTAAAATCAAAACTAAAGTTGAACAAGATAAAATTCACCACCATGACATTCAAAATATTAGATAACTCAAAATTTAATCACAAACATCACAAAACAATTGCAATTAAATTAAGACGCCTCTATTGGATGATCGAGAATCCATCCAAGGAGGTAACCTACGGTTGCTAACAAAACTTCCCAATCTAAATGAAACTATGGAACTAATTAAGTTTAGTTTAGTAAATTCATTTGGATTAAGTGAATTCAAAAGAAAATAGTGGTGTCAGAATGAGGGACTTGTAAGATCCTAACTGGTGTCGCTCTAATCGACTGTAATATGCCTCATAATATTTAAAGAACTATAACTATAGGGACATCTGATTTGACATTATAACTTGACACATTAGAAAACTTAAACCCGTCATGACGAGAATCTTGGAGCTAGCATTGTGGGCAGTACGACCATCTACATCAACAAGAGGATCTACAACAACATATATTTTCTTAGAATTAAACAACTAAGCCATAGGATTTCGAGGTTGTCTGCTTAGTACGAAGTAAATCCTTAACTCATCTTTAGGCCTTTGTATAGCCCTGCTACACAATATAAGCCCTAACTCGTCTTAGGATTTCAAGGTTGTCGTTTTTCACGATCTAAATCCTCACATATTCCAGGCTATTTGTGTGATTCTTTCACACGAATGTAAGCCCTAACTAATAAAATTGATAGGATGAAACATTCAAATACTTCTCTCTAAATTGAAGCCAAGCAATAGGATAACTTGGGAAGTCACCGAGGTTCCCCTCCGGATCTATGACATCCCTTAGTTCTTCCTCCCTTCGATTTCAAAAATAAAATATTCCAAATTTGAGTCATTCCCCTTTCACATTTCTTTGCCAATCTCGTTGAAAATTTCTATTCTTTTGAACTCCTTGAAGATAATATTTCCTGATTTTTATCGAGAGTTTTCTTAGGTGACTTCGGTTATCTAAGATGTAATTAACTATAGGGGCTTGCCCTTATAGGAAGCTTTTCCGAACCCAACTTAATATAAACCCTATTTAATTCTTCATATTAAATAAGGAAACTTGTTAACAAATAAAAATGGTTTCGTAGACCAAACAGATGTCATATATTTCTTAGCTTATTTGACCGATCATCACTCTCAAGGCTTGTGTTTATCTTTCGGGATAAATATAGGGTTTGAAGTATAGTGCTCTTTCATTTAAACTATGAGAAATATGGGGTCGGTGTGATTTCATATTTTTCTAAACTATATATATATAGATATATATATATATAGGACAACTTCCAACAGGCAACTCCACTTCCAAAATAGTGCCAACAGAGAATCAAAGATTGATATTCATAACTTTTAACATTTATATGTTATAAAAGTTATGAATAAAAGTGTAGTTCAACTTGGGAAAAAAAATGGGCACACATCCCTTTAATTGGCTTTCTTTAAGTTTCCATCGATATTTGATTAAAAATAGTTAAATTGATTAGTTCATTAATAATATGTTAAATCCTAAATGAAAAAAATATTTTAAAAAAAATCATGTCACCAGATATAAGAGCATTCATATGCTCACATATCTAAAAAGTTAACATTTTAAAATATATTAATCAATCCCATAAATTTATTAAATAACAATTACTAACTAACAATAACTAATTACCAACTAACTAAATTTATTGAAGTTTCAACAATTTATTACATAATAAATTTTGTCTTTAAAGTTTAAAAAATTTCACTGTTACAGTCCTCCTTTAAACAATTTTACCAAATAAGGGCAGAGTTGTCATTTTCCCAAAAACAGCTGCTCTGCAGCTGTTTTCACACAACTACACCAAACAGACAGTCAGCTTTCCTGTAGCCGCTTTCCTACAGCTCATGCTGCTTCCCCGCAACAGCTTTGTGGGCAGTGCAGTTGCAGCTGAAAAACTGGGAAGCTGCAGTTGTGTCAAACAGGGCCTTAATCAACATGATGATGGGGATTTCACTCTTATTCTAAGTTCTAGATAAAAGAGTTTTCTATGCAAGCAATCTTTGGTTCAATACATGAGGTCCCATTTGGGACAGTCTTTTTAAGTGCTTTCTAGTTTGAAAAATGCTAAATGAGCTATTTGGAGAGCATTATTTTTAATGTTTTTTAGAAATTTGGTTAGTCAAAACAATATTTTACAGACGGTCTCTTCGAATTATGTTCCACGATGAGCTCTGTAGCTTAATAAATAAAGGACTTTGCCTTCTCCGATAAAATCACGGAATTAGCCGCCTAAACTCTGATATGTCCACGCCCTACCCCTTAGGCCTTTTGTTTCCAATTGCTGGTCGAATCTTTATGAACATGAACTTTTCCCCATTGTTTGTTGTCTTTGATTCATTTGTACATGTTTCTATAATTCTTATACACTTTGCTAGCTGGTTGTTCTTTTACATTTTAGAATATGATGAGTATTTTGTCAATCGATCTATGTGATGATTAGTATTTAAGAGTTTGGGGCTTCTCTTCCCCATCATCAGATCTTCGAAATATGATCAACTCTTTGCACGAAATTTTTTTCTTGGTTGTCTTGAGTGCATTCTACACTAAGTTTTTGAAATTTATAGAGCGAGCTTTTATTTTGATTTTATGGGCTTGCTTTGGCTTTGATGGGATTGCTCTAGTTTTGGTTAAAGTTGTAGATTTTAGTTGGATGGGTGGTATTTTAACATATATTTGAAAGATTTACTGACATACCACTTATTCTTAAGTATTTGTGTATCTAACACCTAAACCTAAATTTTTGCATACATGAGACCTTACATATACACAAAAATGTGTATTTCAGTTATACGTGCTTCTATGGATTTCGTCTCATATCAAAAGTAAGGAATATTTTGTGACATATTAAAGATTTTAGTGCTATATGTGCAAATATGAAAGTTTGGATGTGAGATACGTAGATGCAAAACAATTGTGTACCATGTACGTACATGCCTCTAAGAAATATTTGTGAATATTGGCTTTAATACTAAATCGAATGAATTATACAATGTGTTGTGACTCGCATTTATATATTTTGATTATTGCTCGTTTCCTTTCATGTTATAAGATGTATGAAATTGGTTTCTCGAAAGCTCCATGTTTTATGAGCTATTTTTGGAAATATATGTAACAACTTGTTGAGATTGCTCCTACTTGGATGGCCTACCGTGCAATAGTGGGTATATTTTTTTGACTTTTTCATTATTAATACTATTATTATTATTATTATTATTATTATTATTATTATTATTATTATTATTATTATTATTATTATTATTATTATTATTATTATTCCCACATGGATGGCCTCCTCGGCAATCATGGGTATGTTTTTTTTCTTAAGAAGCCTATAATGAGCCATATGATCCAAGAGATTCTTTTGGATGGTCTTACCACAGTTATGTTTTACAATATCTGTGATATTGCTATTAAGGGATTTAAGGCAACTAAGGTTTTCTTTTTATGGGTCCACTATATTTTTATTATGGCAGATTCTTCCTCTCTTTATTTTGACTGTGAGCTTATATTATTTCTGTTAACAATAACATTCTTTTCGTTTTACATTTATTGTATATATTTTCTTCTATTTTCTCATTCTAACATCAATCTAAGGAAATATGAGTTCACGAAATTCCACTTGCTCTAGAATTGTATATTGTAATTGTGATATGCAATGTTTCAAGTACAAGTCTCAATGAGAAGCTAGCTATGCGAGAAAATTTTATAAGTGTCATAGAAACAAAATGTTTGATGATTTTGATTTTTATAAAGGGGTTCAGAACTGTGAGTAGTTCACTTCAGATAGTGATAGCTTGTGAAGAATAACTTTGAAAAAAAAAAATTACAAGAGACTTGATTAGTTGGACATGAAGACTAAGATTATAATATTATTACTTTTTCAAGTTATTTACTTGACAAACTCTCTAAAACTTTAAAAATATCGAACTAGCCAACAAAACCATTAATATTTCATTCTGAGCCCTCAAAAACCCGCGACTTATGGCCCATTTGAGTTGCTTATTTGGGTGCGGCGGTATTTTGAAAACGCCGCCCGTGCTGTTTGGAAAAAGCGTTCGGCGGGCGTTTCCAAAACGCCCCCAACACGCGGTATTTTATTTATGCTACGAAGTCGGACGCGGGGTAGGGTATGTCATATGTGTTCGGCGTTTGCGACTGGCGTAGGAGAAGAATTCCTCCGGAGCCCTCGACTGATCTCTCGCGATCTCCCTCGCCCTCTCCTCCTGATCTCCTCCCTCGCGAAGAACAACGATTCGCCGATATCCTCAATTCATCGATCTCCTCGATTCGCCTTTCTCCTCCCTCGCGAAGCCCTCGCAAAGAACACCTCCATAAAAATCTGAAATTTCTTCCTTCTTTCAGTTGCCAAACATCCCCTACTCATTTCTGCATAAGAAAGGAAACCAGTGAGTCAAAAAATTAGTAAGTCACGAAACTCATCTTCTCCTTTCGGCTTCCTCTCTCCAATAAGAAACCCTCGAACCTTCACACGTCGATCACCCCGAAGAAGGCTTCACCAGTGAAAACATGGAGTTTAAGTTAGAAGCAAAGTGGCGGAAGGCGATGGTTTCTGGTATCATTTGTTGTTGCAACTCAGGTTGGTTGAAACTCCCTCGTTCTCCCCACTTTCTCTTAGAGTTTGCTGAAACTCTCACCTTTCTCTCCCTTTCTTTTAAATTTGAGATTTAAAGCAAGATGGAAGAGAAATGTGATTTAAATTTCTGTAGGATTTAAAAGATATGTCACTATTAGCAGGATGCATGAAATTAAAAGATCTGTCTTCACATATATGCAAAGTGTATTTATAGTTATACTTGCATATAAATATATATATATATATATATGTGTGTGTGTGTGTGTGTGTGTATGAATGTATATACTTATATAGTTGGGGTTTGCCTTATTAAGGTTTATGCTCCATAATATATAATTGTAGGTTAGTTGTTCTTTTGTTTGTTTTAGTTAAAGCTTTTGTTGGGATGGTTAACCAAAGCTTCACAATGTCGCATGATTGAATGTAATGAAATTACATATCTTAGAGTATGACTATGCCTAATGAAATTACCTATCTTATAGTAGACATTATCATCCATCTCTACTTGGGAGTTGGTGCATGGAAAGCTAAGTAGAGTGGATTTTAAGTTCAAGATTATGGCTTAGTTTGATGGTTTTAGAAATTAATAAAATGTTCTATCAAACTCTCTTTCATGAATGATAATATAATAAGTATTTATTTATGATGTAGTTACGTAATGAATGTAAGACAAATGTTTTTATGATTGTATTTCTATGTCTCGATGTAGAAAATTTGAAATTCATAACGTGGCATGGCGATGAAAAAGTTGAATATTATCATTCAAGCTCAGGTAGGAAAATTTGAAATTCATAATGTCACTAGGCGATAAAATAGTTGAATACTATCATTCAAGCTCAGATAGTACTAACAGATGCAGATATGAGCTTAATGAATATATCGATGAGTACTTAATGAGTAAAATGTCTTTTGATGTGTCTTTCGAGATTAGCTCTCAGTTTTTCAGATTCAGAGAGCTTCAGTTAATTTATTCAGAAACTGGTAATTTCTAAGAAATTTGAGATGAAATTTAAGAAGAGTGACAGAAAAAAGACTTATCACAATATGTTTTTATAACTATTTTTTATGCAGATTGCGAGCTTCAGTTTGTGCCAATGGACATACATTTGAAATAAGAAAAATTGAAGGTTCACATTAGTTCCCAGGTGTGAGCAGTGCTAGTAACAAATAAGTAGCATCCATTTGGGTGGCCAATGTAATACAAGATGTAGAAGAAACTTATCCAAATATGCCTCCAAAATGAATCAATTTTGCTTTAGAAAATAAGTGTTGGTTTTCATTATCAAATATGATGGTATGTAGATTCAGGAAGTTAGCTTGGGATCAAATATTTGGAGCAGTTGATGATAGTTTCAAGTGGGTACCTGCACTGTGAGCAGAGCTTGTCAAACAGGTTCTCATATTCTTTTTATTATAATAGCATTGCTCATGCATTTTAGAGAATACACATCAGTTTCAGGTGTGTATTGATGATTTCATAGTTGGTTGCAGACATCTCATAGAGCTTGATGCTTGCCATTTAACATCAAAATAGTTAAAAGTGTTGCTCTCAACAAATATTTTGGATGGGTATAACGGAATCTTTACAGTTACATTTGTAGTTGTTAAGTCTAAGTCAAAAAAGTCTTGGGAATGGTTTTTAAGGCATTTAGCTCTATCTTTTGAGTTTAAAGTTGAGCCATTAACATTTATCTTAGATATAGAAAAGGGTTTGATTGAGGCGCTTAAGGGTGTATTTTCTAATGCTGAACATAGAGTTTGCATGAGTCATTTATGGAAGAGCATTACAAAATGTCACGATTTTTAGGGTAGCATTACAATTCGATACAATGTTTGGCTGGCTGCAAATGCATAGATTAGATCCCAAATTGTAAAAGGTTTGAAGAGATACTTGAAATATGCCCCTAATTGCATGCATATCTGAACAGTCTTCCTTATAAATGGTCCAAATGTCAATTTTTGCCTGAAATTAGAAATTAGTCAAAGACCAACAATAAATCTGAGTCTTTCAACTCATGGATTGGGCAAACATGTTGGCGATTTAATGGATTTCATTATATGCATGTTAATGAAGTATAGATTAGACAGGAAGTTAAAGTCAAGCAATTAGAGTTCTATATTAGTTCCCGCACAGAGAACTACGTAAGAAAATTAACCACAAAAAGATTGGATTCATTATCAGGTAGTTAACAACGTTCATGGTCAAGTTCGAGGTCGAGATCGAGGGAGATCAAGAAAGACATGAAGTTGACAACAAGCACAAAAATTACAGTTGTTGGTTTTGGCAAATAATCAGTCTCCTGTGCATTCATACTGCCTATTTCATCAGCACAAAATGGCAAACAACATGGCATACTTATGTGGATGAGTATTATCATTCAACCAGGTATATTTTTTGCAAATTCAATTCACATGCATATGTATTTTAATAAATCTTTTTCAACATTATTAATGTATCTACATATATAGAATGGCCTATGATAGTGCAATCTCTTCCATCCCGGGAAAGAGCAAATGGATTGCACCTAACGATGAGGTACATATAATGCCACCATAATCATGTAAGCCTAGAGGTAGGCCAAAGAAAAGGAGAATATGAAGTTTTATGGAGAATCAAAGTAAAAAAAAAAGAGTAAAATTGCTCACAAATGTGGCCATTGCGGTGGTTGGGAGAATCACAAAACCACTTACAATAATCCAATTAGCCAATAAAGCATAGTTTCCCTGATGTTGATACAACCTCATGCATCTCTAATTTTACGTATGTTGATAAGGGCTCAAGGACAAAACTTCCAGTACGCCGACAGTGATTGGATGACACTGACGGAGTTTACATTGATGAAGAACAGTTAAAAGTGAAGCGCACATGATATTTTCTTATTAATTTTTTTTATCACAGTTTTACTAAGCAATGCTATGAAATAATATCACTCTTATTATGTTGGAATTGATAAACATGCGTTAACAAAAATTGCATAAAATAAGATACCAATATTTTTTGGAACGTGTGACATAATTATGTTTATGGAGAATGTGGCTTTTGGTTTACAATGAACTTTTGAATTTAAACATATACCACATCTTTTTAGAGTTTCATTATCCATATTAAGCTCCTGATATGCATTGCAAGAATGAGATCTTACATCCAGTGGTTTTTTTTATATTCAACTTATTTAAAGTTTCGATTTGTTTTACAAAGGGACTGCAGCTCCAAGTAGGCACTCCAATTCCATTGGAAACTGTTAACGAATTCAAACTTCTTTAGCAATCCCAAGAGCTAACTTGAAACATGAACACCATCCTAAATGTTAGCTGGGGTAGCAACGTATCTCTGCCTATAAGAACTATGTTTAGTTCGTTTTAAGCTTGATAAATATGCAGTGTGATATATTTCCAATGGACATAATACATATCCTTCCAAGTAAGTCTCGGATTTATGAATTGTATGATAGCCAACAATAATATTTATGAATTTAAACATAAAAGAGGACTTCTATGCTTGAAGTTCATTTGGCTGACTTAATTGTAATAACTAATGAACTATATGTTGAATTATCATATTTTATTTATGCTTTAAGAGGTAATATTATATCAAAATCTTATTGTGTCTTATTATTGGTTGATATGGACTATTTCTATATTTCTTTTGGTAATGTGCGACATATTTGTATGGTCTCGAGCTTCCCGAGCAGCCACAGTTGTCTTTACCAAGAAGATTCATGATAATTCAATTATTTGAATTGTAAAATTGTAAAAAAAAGATTTTTATTGATCAACAAGCATGAAACTGATGTCTATGCATTTGGAGTTGTTCCTTTTGAGCTTCTATTGAAAAGAAATCCTTTTGTAGAATAGCAACTAAACTATCACTTGGAATGGACTGGAGCCCAACCCCATAGAAAATGGGCTTTAGTGTTGTGGCTTGGGATCATTTCAAAAGCATGAAATGGGCTTTTGTTTTATTATTTTATTTCCTTTGTTTCTTGATTTGTCAATCCCAAACATTCGAAAGTTGAGGTTGAGTGTTGCGGCTTGGGTTTATTTGTTGATACTTAGTGGTGCAAAGCAATGTTAAATTTTGATGGTGAGTATCAGTCATAATTATGAATCCTTAGTTGAACTAAACTTGATGTGGATTATGATGATTTATTGCATTAAGAAAATTGCTATGAAACTTCATGGTTTGTAGCAAAGAACGAGACCCAATTGTGTAATGATTAGTTAAAACTAGTTATTTGATGCTATTGTTATCTTATATATCACTTCTTTATGTGTTGTTGTTATCTTATGCATCATTTTCTTTAAAGGTTTAGGAGGGGTCCAAATGAAGATGGAGGGTTTGGGGGGCTTGGAATGAAATATTAGAGTTTTGGTTGGCTAGTTTATTATATTTAATGTTTTAGAGGTTTGCGAAGCAAATACCCCAAAATTTTAATGATATAGGTTCAGGGGTTTCAAATGTATTGTGTGGTGTGTGTGTAAATATCTTATCAAAATTTGCTTTCTCTTGCAAAAAGAATTTTTTTGCATGCATACCAGATAAAAAAAGTACTCTTAAAAGCTCAGTTCTTTGCAAAATTTCAAGTTCCTGCATCTTAAGTTGGACTAGCCACTTGAGCGAGAACATGCCATGGTTTTGAATATAACACGAGTTTGATGCTAGAACATTTATTTGTGAATAATAGTGAGAGTATTCCGACATATATATTTGCCTAAAGAACTTAGAGGGAAAAACAATACATCAGAAATACGGGGAAAATATAGTTTAAAACTCTTTACTATTGCAAAGCTCAATTTTTCAAGCACGAGCTTGCTATCGTATGTAATATCACTTCAAACCACAAGCTTGATGCCATAGTAGATGCTTATTACTCCCCACATTGTGAGTCTAAATGCAGATATATCAATTCCTTGTTTTATCAAATCACAGGAGAACAACAAAATTGGAGAATATAAAAGCACCTAAAACAGCTTCTGTTGTTGTATTTTGCAGAATTGCATCAATCCTTTGTATAAAAAAGCATTTGTTGATGTATCTTGCATTGCTGAAAGTTTTTATGTCCCATAATCTGGATGGATCTCATGCAATGGCAGCTGCCAAGGTGAAATTGCTAAATAAGGTCCATGACGTTGTGATGTGCAAGCTGTGTTCTTAAAAAAAAGGTTTTCTGAAAGTGTTAAATGAGGTTTTAAGTGTTAACAATACAAAGCAATGTTAATTTTAGGAGTTTTGGTAGGTTAAAGTTTTTCTTTTCCTTACACCCACTTTAGCCTTGTCTTCAAGCTTTTTTTTTTTTTTATTTTGGCTCTTCTTTGTAATTTTGTTTTCCTTTTAAGCACCATTAGTTTTTTTTTTTTTTTTTCACTTTTCTCTTTTTATTATTTTTTTTAGGATATTTATTTTTGAGAAATTCTGTTAATGATTTTGATATCTAAGTTTACTTAAATTGATTCTGATTTCTCAATATACATTTTATGTATTATAGTTTAAATGATACTAATCTATTTTTAAGATATATGTATTGATATATGAGAAATTTTAATATCACTAATTTAATTAAATTAGATTTCTCTAATTGTGTTCAAGTGCACTCAAGTTCTTTAAATTTGAAATGTCTATTAATTTAAGTAAACTAATTAGTACCATTAGATCAATATGAAACTCTAGAATTTTTATTAAGAGTTTATTAATATGTTCTCAATGATTAATTCCCAGGGGAAAAAAAAAATTTAATTTAAATCTACATAAATTCTCTAGTCGTTAATGCTTAAATATATGAACTACCTAAAGGAACATAAACAAAAACGAAAACACAAGAATAATATAACAACGCAAAAATAAGACACTAAAAGTAAATAATAATCACTAGTAAAGCACATAACATAACGAGTAACATGAAAATAAATACAAATTCCCCCTCAAACTCTCTTTCATG